ATTTTAGGCGATGTTCAGGATACAAATGTTGAGGGATTCCCTGACTTACACTGTCTTTGTGTCTTTGTTTAGAGGCAGAGCGACACGGATGGATCCAGTTCTCAGCCCTGTTGTCACTGTGGTGCTGTGAAACCGTTTTGTTGTGACCTTTGTGGAAAAGCTTACAAGAAGAAAAAAGGCCTGATATGGCATCAGCGTAGACACACTGGACAAAGACTGAACTACTGCAAACAGTGTGGGAAAGGCTTCCCCACTCCAAGTGCATTAAAGCAACATGAACTCTTCCACAATGGTGTGAGAGAGCACGTTTGTGACCTGTGTGGGTCATCCTTCATCACTACAGGTGACCTTAAAGTGCATAAACGCGTCCACACAGGAGAGAAACCATACAAATGCAGCCACTGTAACAAAAGCTTCTCACACTCAAGTAATCGTAACATTCACGAACGTGCACATGAGGAAGACAACTACATGGTTTATCAGCATGATCTTGCAGAACTGAAATCACTGGATCACAATGACTCTGAAGAGGCAGAAAGATCCTCTTCTGGTTTCAGGGTTGGACTTAAAAACCTTGAGATCAGGCTCCACAGAGTTCAGATGGAGTCTCCTGTAAAGAGTGTCAGCTGATGTCACACTTGGATCTGATGAGCTAGCTCTGAACCCTGAATCTTAAATTAAATTTCAGCTGAAAACGACATATCCAGAAGAACAGAATATACTCAATGATTGAGCATGCATCCAGACACTACTGTCTGTACTTTATTCTATTTCTGTTGCTTGTGGGTCTCAGTGAAGATGTCCACGAATGCCTCATGTTCACCAAACTAACTAATACTAAAACTAAGGATATTTCCTCTGTATTGTTATTGTTATTAAGTGCTCTATGGCAGAGAAGAGGGCTCCACTGAGGGCGGTGAAGGCTTCCCAGAGCGTTGTTGGCAGCAGCGTCCCCGCCACAGCAGACACGCACACCGACTGTTCTTCCTACACTGTAAACATGCTTCTTCTTATACTGTAAATACTCTATGTGGAAGTTGAGTGCAGAGCTCACTCGATGTAAATGCATGTGCTGGAATGACAATAAACACCTTAAACCCATGAATGTGCCTCTGTCTGCTCTGACACTCTTCAGTAAGCAGTGTTTTGCACGAGTGGAACGTTTGATTCCAGCTGGAGACACGAATTCTTTCACGCAGAACAACTAATATTTTTTTTCTAAAGATCAATGCTCATAAAAAAACTATATTTAAATAATCAAATTAAGTTTAACCTCCTAAGACCCGAACTCTTCAATGGCATGCATTTTTGATTTCTCTTTAATATTGGGGCTGATTGGAACCCAATGAATGTAAAAACAAAGAATCACCAGATTGACTTTTTTTTTTACCTGATTTTTGTTTCTAAGAAAAATCATATGAGGATATTCATTAAAAATTTTGATAAAAACAGTGGCAGTATGTCCTCGTAAGTGGATATCAGGCCCTTGTAGAGCAAAATTTAGTATTTTGACCCAAAATTTGATGTCCACATATGTGGACAGGAGGGCCTAGGTAGGAGGTTAATGTTCACTGTATTTCGGTTTAGTTCTGTTCCTGCATTGCAGAATGAGCAGCTTCTCACAAACATTTAATCTCACTTCATAGCTGTTCTGTTCAAATGACAGCCTCATTAATGAGGTGACAGCTCACCCGGTGGTTCTCCACTCTTATATGACCTGTATGATTCAACACTATAAAAACACATTGGGCAACAACACAGTGGACTTTCGGAGAACCCAGTCTGTCCCGTGCACATCAGCCACGATGCAGGACAGGAGAGAGGATCAACAGTGCTGATCTACCTGTACAGGTAGAAGGTCAGGAAATATCTCTGCAGAGTTCTCACATCCCGGATATAAACTGCTTAAACTTGGGTGTTTTTTGCACGCAGAAGAGCATAGCAACAGGATCTAATTCAAACTTGATTTTCTACCTGGGATGTACGCTTTGTAGTCCATCTTCAGAACTTTGTAGTTTTCACACAGCAGCTTAACATTATTAATCGGTCTGACTCTCTGAGCACTGACTTTTCATTTCCTAACTCCTGTGTTATTGCAGGGTTTACCTTACAATATAAAGCGCCACTTTGACATCTTTGCTTCTTCCCAGGTGATTAACTGCGATTTTCTACCATGAACCACGTGGGTCTCTGCTCCCTGATCTGTTTCCTGTGTTTGGAAAGAGTTGCAGCTTCATCGCGGAGTTTCTCTCGGTTTGTGGGCTCATCTAAAGGTAAGCACCGAGCTAACTTTACTGTGAGTTCAGTTCATGTTGAGTTTAGCTCCTGAATGAGGTCTTCTGCTGCTCTCCTCGGTGTCTGTTCACAGTTTATTGTGAACACGTTGAGAGAAGAGTGAGAGAGTGTTTGGAGAAAAACACCAACTAATCATTAGCTCAGCATGCTGGGAGAAGTTGAGCGTTTGCTCGCGTTTTTGCTCGCTTGCTCGATTATTTCTTGCTGTGACGCTGGGTCGTTTTTAGCCCATTTTTGAATCACAGGACCCCCAAAGATTCACAGTACTTTATAAAAAGCATATAGTATTTGGTTGAGACGTAATATTTTAAAAACAAAAGTATAGACCCCCCCCCCCCAAAAAAAAAAAGGTCTGTTCCAGCTCGCCTCTCCCCTGCTCTGGCTCTGTTGTCCTTTCTGCCAGAGTGATGGTGGCTGAGACGCAGCAGAGCGGAGGTGTGAGTGCCTGCCTTAAACCAGGACATATTAGCTGCATTTAACCTTCAGTTATGTAGGAGTCAGACCGTGTTTCCTTTTTAGCTGAAAAACATTACACCAGGTAACCTGCAGTGTTGAGAGCGTGTTTTCCGATGTTTGCTACTCTACAGTCCGTCCTACTCTGTAGTAAAATCAGCGACATTTGACCGTCCTGTTGCTCCCATTGGAATTTATGTAGCCTATTTAAAATCTACAACTTAAAATTGTTGTTACCACTGTCCTGTTTGAAATGGAACGAGAGAAGCTGGTTATTTTGTCATATGTGCATGTCCCGATATTAAACCCAGCAGCCACATTCAGGTAAAAGTGTAAGATCAAATGATCCGTCAATAAAGGATAATGTTGGATCAGTGTTTCAATATTTATATCTTTTATTAGATGTACATGTGGTTTGGTTATTTGCCTTTTGGTTGAAAGTACACCGAGAGATGACTTTTTTTATTAGTGATCTTAATAATATCTTTTTTCATATTAATGTCATTTTTTCATCTAATTAAATATATCTACATCTATTTGTGTATGATTATCAGTCCAAAGAGGGAGAGAAGAAAGAGGGCAACGTTAGGAGAAAGTACAAGGCCAGGAAGAACCTGGTAAGAAAACAGACACGGAATAGTGACAGGCAAAACAGAAACTGTTAAACTGCTTGAGAGAGTTGACCACCAAAAAGTGACAGATTTGCCAACCTCGAGGTGAAATGAATGAAATAAAAAATCTGCAGAGCCAGTAGTAAGGCTGGGCAATATGGCCTAAAATCCATATCGCGGTATAATTTGAAGCACGTGCGGTAACTCACAATATATTCTTTTCATCTGTATAACGTATTTTCAACACTAAAAGGCGCCCTTATAATCCTTTGATTTTCTCAAAAATCGAGAGTGCGCCTTATGTATGAATTCTGATTGTGTTTACTGACCTCAAACAGATTTTATGTGGTACACGACGCGCAGAAATCTGTCAAAAAATGCTTTAGTACGGCTTTGGCCACCCTGGGGCGCACTGACAGAGGCGACAAGCACAACAAGCACGCATGCTACAAACTTTACCCGAGTCATTTAGACAGCCGTTAGCACAGGATTCTCCTTATGGGGACCTGATATGTTTAATATGCTGCTGAGAATATAGCCCAGAAGAAGCGGATAGTATAGCTTTTATTTTGGAAAGAGCCGTTTCTCTGTAATAAACTCTCTTTACCAAAGATGAGTGATTTCTCCATTAGATAGATTTTATTTTTTTTATCCCTTTGTTGTTTCAGCAACATTAAATGTAAAAACTGTACTTTTGAGTTAAAATATATATTTATAATTTTAATAAATGACAAATTAAAAAGGCATGAAAATTTTTTTTGTATCGAAAAAATATCGAACCGTGAATTTTGTGTATCGCTACACCCCTACCCCTCACCTTCTTCAAATCCAACAAAAGTGGTGTTAATCAACTGTGCTATGTTTGTGCTGCTTCTGTTTTAAAGATATTAATGAAAATGTAAGGGTCAAAATGTCAACCAGCGCCCCCGCATTAACTAAATCAAACAAAATTGATGTCTAACATTTGTGTTATGTTTGTGTTGCAAATTTTTTTGTTTCTGCTGCTATCATTTTAAAAATATTAATAAAGATTTCTAGAGGTCAGAGGTCAACCGGCCACCCCACATTAATGGAATCAAACAAAACTGGTGTCAATCAATTGTGCTATGTTTGTGCTGGTTTGTGCTGCAAAATATTTTGTTTGTGCTGCTATCATTTTAAAAATGTTAACAAAATAAGGTCTTGATCCGTGCTTAATCATCCAGGTAAGTAAATCCCAAAAGGTTGATTCTGTTCACCTGGACGTAGCGGTTTTAGTGGGAGAAACGTTTCGTCACTCATCCAAGTGACTTCTTCAGTCTCAGCTGACTGCAGGTTTCCCCAATCATATACACTCTCCTTCAAGATGAAAACCAGATTTAAATTTTCTCCTCTTCTTTCCTCATGTACTCTGTATTTCCATTGGGTTTTTTTTCCGTACTTCTCTCACCTGACTTCCCAATGTTATGTTTGTGTATTCTATGTATGGTTGGAAGGGGTGCTCATGATGGTGCCGGATCGTCTGGCAGCCTTTAAAACATTTTTCCTCCGGATAAATAAAGTATTATCAGTTAATCAATCTTTGATTCCACTAATGGAGTTTCAGTTTGTTCCACGACTGCATTTCACTCACTGCCTCTGTTTGTATCTCTGTCACTGCAGGACCAACATGGAGCGAGAAGTCAGCGCTCTCAGGAGGCCGACAAACCTCACAGAAGAAAGGGAGAGAAAACATACAGCTGTGAGGAGTGTGGGAAGGATTTTAATCGGACGTCTGACCTGATACGGCATCAACTCATCCACAGTGGAGTTAAAGCACACTACTGTGACTTGTGTGGAAAGTCTTTTACCCTGGCTGCGAACTTAAAAACACACCAACTCATCCACAGCGGACTTAAACCGTACAGCTGTGACTTGTGTGGAAAGTCTTTTACCCAACTTGGACACTTAAAAAGACACCAACTCATCCACAGTGGACTTAAAGCACACAGCTGTGATCAGTGTGGTAAAGCTTTTGCTCGTAGTAGCAGCTTACGAAATCATCTAGTTACCCACTCTGAAAATAATCAAGCGTATAGCTGCGACATTTGTGGAAAAACATTCTGCTCGCTAGTCAAACGAAATATTCACCTGCGCATTCACACTGGACAGGATGTTTACTGGTGCGATCAGTGTGGGAAACTGTTTACAACAGCCACACACTTAAAAAACCACATGTTTATCCACACTGAGGAGAGACCTTATAAATGTGACTGGTGTGAAAAGGCTTTTAAAGAGCCACATTCCCTGAGAAAGCATCAACAGATTCACACCAGAAAAATACTCTACAAGTGCAGTTACTGTGAGGTATGTATTCATATTTGAAGTATTATGTGAATGAAGTTTAATTTCAAAGCTAAACGAGACGTTAAAACTTCGTCGACAGAATATTCAATCAAATCTGGAACAAATCTGCTGAAACTTTCCTGATGCTGGAAAAAAGCTTCTCCCCTTTCTATCTAACATTCACACTCCAGTGGATGAATTGTAGAGCAGCTTGGGGTTAGTATCTTGTGGCATGTAGCAGGGCTCACAAAATTGCTAGCCCGACGGGCTGAGATAGATTTTGGTCGCCCAACCGGAGATATTGCTAGCCCCGGGACGTCGGGCTAGCGATTTTCCGAGCCCTGTTTAACCACCAATTTTCCCATTAAGAAGATGCCTACAATTGAAGAGACATTTTCACCCAGTAAGCTGAGGTGGGTCAAGTATTGAAAATTGTACTCAAGAGTAGCATTACTTTAAAATAAGTTTACTCGAGTAAAAGTAGTTGGTGAAAAGACTACTCAAGTAGTGAGTAACTGGTTGTAATGTCAGATTTATTTTTTTAAATAAATGCTATCAAACAAAAATAAATAAATATACAAATTTTAGTATTTTCAAATAGAATATATGTAAAACATAAACTAAATAAGGCACAACAATTCTAATTTCCAGATTTCAGTTTTTCAAAACATAAAGCCTTTTTAACCAATAGCTACAGTAAATAATATAAATATATAAACAGTGCAAACCATTTCCAGTGACAAGATGTGTGGTATACTTTATATTCATTTTTGCTCCAAATGGCACAGCAGCTTCAGAGTAAACATTAGAACAGGGCAACTTCAGCCTATGTACATGCAGGGCTGCTCAGTTTACCATAAATTGTTTGGGTGTGTGTCTATTTCTGCATATTTAGCATAAGTGTGTCATTTCTTCATTCAGTGAAGTGATGGTTAAGCTTCAGCAGCAGTTTGCTCTCAAGGTTCTTTTTGTGAAGCTGTAACTGTTTAGCAGTGAACAGGAGTCCTGCATGACTAAGAAGTCCTTCACAGGCTCCAGATGCAGGAAGAGCTGTATTCGTTTTAATTGACAGCTTTTTGATGTGAGGAACGCCATGCAATAGATCCACACCTCCAGTGAATGGACATGAAAGGTACCTCTCCAGCCCCCTGCTTCTGGCTTTCCTGACCCAATGGATCCATTATCTTCGTCAGTTAGGCCGCTGTTTGTGCTGGCATCATCGAGCTCTGTGTCTAGGTGATGTCTGATGAAGTGGAGACCTGTGGAAAGATGTATGGTTTTCAAAAGAATCAGGTCTGCTCACTATAGTGCTGTATACACTGCCAAGCTGCAAAAACAATTTGCAATGAATTCCAGATTAGATTCTGCTCCCTCGTAACACTGCTCTTTTATTGAGGTGACATGAATATGCATAGGCTCATTAACATAGGTACACATGTGAACAAAGAGTACCGTGTGTTGGGGGGGGGTCAGAATGTGACCCGATAAACGACTTCCCTAAACCTGCTGGTCTGGAAGTACAGCAGTTCATCTAAACAAAAGGCACTTATACTAAAATAGATATAGTGTGTTTGCGATACCATATATCAGTAAGAGAAGATATAACCTCTCTCATGACCTTAAGCACACACAGTCTTTGCAGACTACTAAGGATCAGACCCCTACCAATATGACATTGACTATAAACTCTAAGCATATATAAGTAAATATTTCTAAGCATAAATGACAATCAACAATATAACCCTGACACTAGCCTCTTAAAGCTGGGCATACACTGTGCAATTTTCGGTCCATTTTGAGACGATTTATCAGCCGTTTGACCGTTTTGGGGAAAAGCCAGAGTTTCGTCTTAATTGTGTGTCGTGCATCATGTAGTATACATGGGGTAATGAGAAGCGATTAATACCTCACGACCAGCTCCCGATCATCAATCATATGGTCGCAAGATAATCCAACCTGTTTAAAACCCGGTCGCCCTTCATGAGGGTGTCAACGCAGCCTCTGACACAGAAATGCTGCTGGACACAAGCGATGGAGGCACAACTTGTAGAAATTTTGCAAGCTCATCTGAGTACGGGAGCGTAGAGCTGCCACCCAGGCAAACAAAATAGAAGTATATGATGTTATAATGTGAAAACTTTATTGTTCTAACAGTGTACTATCATGTTTGTTATTGCAATGTACGTAATTATCACTTCAAACAAAAAACCTTTTGTACAAAATGTTACATAGTACAAACGTCATAATTATGTATATTTTAATAATATGGTAGTATATTGTACAAACATGAAAAGTATATTGTTAGAACAATAAACATTTCACATTATAACGTGAGATAGCTCAGTTTTTCGTTTGCCGGGGTGGAAGCTCTACGCTTCCATATCGAGGCTTTTCAGTGTGACCTACAAACGTCTAACCCCTGCGATTCAATCGTACAGTTTGAGCAGGAGCTAAATAAGGTGATTGAAAAAAATTGTACAGTGTATATCCAGCTTAATGCAGACTGTTTAAATTAAACAAGCTGCTGTTTCACATAATAAACCCTGTCGACCGCTGTATTGCCTTCTGATTTAACAGTTAAAGCAGTAGAGACGAGCTGTGTTTACATCTGCGTGGAACTCTAGCTTCGTTAACCAGGCTAGCTTAGAGTTCACGCTAGCTAACCAGCAAGGAGTTAAAAGCGGCGAAAACAACACCCACAAACTTATCTCACTACAACATAGGGCCGAAAATATGACGTGATTCTAGTATGTGAATGAAGTTTAATTTCAAAGCTAAACGAGACGTTAAAACTAGCTAACCAGCGAGGAGTTAAAAGCGGCGAAAACAACACCCACAAACTTATCTCACTACAACATAGGGCCGAAAATATGACGTGATTCTAGTGTAATCAAACTCGGGGCTTGAGCTTTATTTCAGGCAATGTTCAGGATTAAAATGTTGAAGCAATTCCCTGACTTACACTGTCTTTGTGTCTTTGTTTAGAAGCAGAGCGACACAGATGGATCCACTTCTCAACCCTGTCGTCACTGTGGTGGTGGGAAAGACTTTCTCTGTGACCTTTGTGGAAAAACTTTCAGTCATCAACAAAGCCTAAAAGTACATCAGCGTAGACACACTGGAGACAAAATGAACTACTGCAAAGAATGTGGGAGAGGTTTCTCCAAACCAAGTGAATTAAAACGACATGAAGTCATTCACAGTGGGGTTAAAAAGCACGTGTGTGACCAGTGTGGGTCATCCTTCACCACTGCAGGTTACCTGCATAATGAGTCCACACAGGAGAGAAACCATACAACTGTAGACACTGTGACAGATGTTTCTCATATTCAGGGACTCGTGATTGCCATGAACTTCGACATATTGAAGTGAACTTAATAACAGTGTGACAAGAGCTTTAAGAATCTCAGTTTATAATCCAAACATAAACAATCCCTCACTGTAAATAAACTGTTTCACTGTTACCAATGTGCAAAAACATTCACTTCATTATCTGCTCTGTGCAAACATCAGCGCGATCCTGCAGGACGGACTGCACTGGATCACAGTGAATCTGAAGAGACAGAAAGATCCTCTTCTGGTTTCAGGGTCAGACTTACAAACCAGATCAGGCTCCACAGAGTTCAGATGGAATCTCCTGTAAAGAGTGTCAGCTGATGTCACACTTGGATCTCATGAGGTAGCTCTGATGTTTGGACTTCAATTCAGGAAGAAATAACATTCGAAATGTTGTTGTTGTTTTTTTGTTGTTTTCTTCCCATGACTGAGCTCGTAATGCCTATTAGTCGTATTAAACTAAATTTTTTTAATTTAAATTAAGTCAAATTCTATTATTTCTTTTTGGACCCTCATAAAACACCAAATTCTTTTTACATGTAGATAGATGCTGGATGCCGGTAGAGTTACGTATTCTGAATACTTTGGATTACTTAATATATTTTCATGCCTATTACAACTATATGAATGTACTATTGCTATGTGATTTATTACTATTATTGAAGGCCACTCGCCATACCAATACAAACTAATTTTTAAATCTTAATATAAAATGAGTAACAGTAGGGTGGACATTAGATATGGCTTTTTGCAGTGATCTTGCATAGAAAACAACTTCTGTATCAATAATATGTTTTCCTTTTGTCTACTATGTGGCTCTGATTTCTGGACTTGCATCAATAATCCTGAATGTTACATTTGGGAAGCTGCAAGTCTTTTACTTTTTTTATTTTATTTTTTTATTTATTTATTTTTCACGGATTTTGATTGTCCAAAATGTTATCGCTGTCATGTTTAAATGGTTTTCCCATTGGGACACCGTATTTAGTAGTAGTTGTTGTTATAGATATTGTTTTACCTTACAGTTAACTGATATTGTATAAATACTTGAACTTAACTATTGTTTTGATCTTCTGGCTGACTGGTGTTTTCACCCGTAATACGGTAGAGGTGGGGGGATCGATACAGCACAGCATCTTGATATTTTGCATTGTGATGTTGTCTCAATACAGTGACACCAAACATCGATATTTATTAAAGAAAATAAAATACTCTGGGAATTACTCTGGGAATACAATGAATAAGGGAGCTCATCTTATAAGAGGCCAACTTTCTGCAAACAGTTGTGCTCTGACTTGAAGTGACTGCAATCACTTTGGGAGAGATTGTTGCAGGTTTTAAATAAATGCTGCCTTATTTATAAATGCAGACTAAATGCTACCATGTTTTCATCAGTTTGGTGTTAGGCTTGGTCAGTGAGCACTGCTCGAGGGGACTCGACTCACCGGGTTGGTTAGTCAGTTGCCGTTAATAGACTTACATTAGTTTATGTTTGCTAACTAAAAGCAGAACTCACTGGAATATAAAGACACTAGAACTAGAAATCAGTCTAAGGGGGGGTCACTTTTATGCTGCCTCTGACTTCAACAATACCTTTAAAGTTAACCTGAGGGTATACAGTCTACTTTAACTCTCTATCTTTTAAGCAGTAAGTGGTTCTTCGTTGGGAAAATCTCCCGCTTACAGTGGCTTGCAAAATTATTCAAATAAGAGAGATACAATAAGGCACCAGGGGGTGTAATACAAAGAATTACAAACATTCAAATAATTTGTAATTACTATAAATAGTAATAGTTTTCATAGCCTTTTTGTTAAGTGATCCACTAATCAATTTTATGTAACATAAAACATCATTATAGTAATGTTTAAAATTAGGTTTTTTGTTACTGTATTTGCATTTGTGAAAATAAAATTTAGCTAAGATAACTAACAAGTTTATTATAAAGTAAACATCTTCTTTTTTTTGCCTTCGAAAGAAACAAAATACAAGATTTTCCCATTTCACAGTAAAGTCTTTATAGAGATGTCCAGCAATGAATCTACTGAAGTCTTTCCAAAATGTTCTAGCGTATGAACAGATCCAGAAAAGGTGTTGCACAGTCTCAGGATGGCTTCCACAAAATCCACAGTTCACATTTATGTCCCTTTTGAACTTTGTCACGTAATGATTAGCAGGATAAAATTTATGCAGTATTTTAAATGAGACTTCCTTCACTTTATTCGTTACCAGATACTTGTTAGGAATTGTCCATACTCTTTTCCAGTTAATGTCACTGACAAAGAAATTCCAATAAGAGACCACATGTGGAATAGTTAGAGATTCTGTCTGGAACAAAGCACGGATATTCTTATTACTTTTACTACGGTTTGTTAGACAGATTCTTCCTATGTGTGAATCTAAAGGGTTGGGGAGAGAAACAGATGATATGCAAGGTTGAATACCTTTAAAAAGCATTATAATACCCGTAGGTATTGCATCAAATAATATGGCATATTCTTTGGGTGTGGCTGGAAATTTATAGGTGTTTAAGAATTCTGAGTAGGACATAAGCTGCCCATTAGGATTAAACAGCTGATTCACTAAAACAATCCGTTTCTCAACCCACCTAGAAAAAAATAATGATTTATTTTTATACACTATGTTCCTATTATTCCAAATTGAATACGTATGGGGTGTAAAGTTGTGTTTATATATAAGGGACCAAGCTAATAGAACTTGTTTGTGAAACATCGAAAGGTTTTCTGGAAGCTTATCTATATTATAATCACAACCTAAGATAACTTAGACCACCAAACTTCCAAATGGATACCGGATTTTTAAGAAAATGTTTAGCCCAATTAATCTTAAATGTATTGTTTAGAGTAGTAAAATCCAAAACATTGAGACCACCGTGTTCATAGTCATTCATCAATACACTTTGTTATGATCCAGTGATGTGTTTGTTTTGTGTTACTCCTCCCACCAGAGGATGGCTGTGGGTATCTTTCCCCTTTTCTCTCCTAGGAGGTGGACACCTGGGCGTGGCTGCTAGGTATCTGGGTGGAATCTCTGCCTATCCTCGGATTGGATAATTGATGGATCACCTCCAGTACTTAACTACCGGATGACAGCCACCTGGCCCCTCTCCCCGAACCGCCACCACTTAACCAAGAACCTGTGTGTTGATTTATTGCAGTGTAGAGTTTTCGTGTGTATGTCTGGCGTTATTATGTCCATTTTGTAAATAGCTGTAAATAGATTTGTCAAGTAGCGATCGTACGCTTTGTTCACTTTGTATATATCCTTCACTGCAGCAGCGTAGTAGGCGTGAGAAGCCATTTTTGTTGAATAAGTTTTCTCCTGTTTTTTCATTAGAAAGCTAGGTAAGTGAATTGTCTTTTGTTTGGTTTTTTTCATTTTTGTGTAGGGAAGCGTAGGGACCATTAGGGAGTTTTGTTTGTTATTTTTGGCACTGCTCACTGCTGAAGCAAATAAATGGCTGCTTAGCACTTTAAAAGGTATCGTTGTTGGTGTTCTTGCTTGGGTGGGGTGTGAATGGGCAAACTTCTTGTTGCGTTTAATTACTTGCCTAGACTAAAAACGTAACATAATATGGGGGCTCGTCCGGGATTGCCTTCGCTGGAGGGTCCGAGGGACCGCTCCAGCCTCCATCAGCTTCGTCTGCCTTCATCCGCCTTCGCTGGGGGGAGGGTCCGTGGGACCGCTCCGGCCTTCATCCGCCTTCGCTGGAGGGTCCGAGGGACCGCTCCAGCCTTCGTCGTCTGCTGGAGGGTCGGTGGGGCCGCTCCAGCCTTCATCAGCTTCGTCTGCTTTCGCTTCAGCCGTGTGTCTTCGCTGGAGGGTCCGAAGACCGCTCCAGCCTTCATCCGCCGTCGCTGGAGGGTCCGGGGTACCGCTCCAGCCTTCGTTTGCCTTCGCTGGAGGGTCCAAGGGGCCGCTCCAGCCTTCATCCGCCGTCGCTGGAGGGTCCAGGGAACCGCTCCGGCCTTCGTTTGTCTTCGCTGGAGGATCCGTGGGACCGCTCCAGCCTTCTGCAGCTGGTGGGCTGCGTGTCCGTGTTTGCAGCTGGTGGGCTGCGTGTCCGTGTTTGCAGCTGGTGGGCTGCGTGTCCGTGTTTGCAGCTGGTGGGCTGCGTGTCCGTGTTTGCGGCTAGTGAGCTGCATGTCTGTTTTTGCAGCTAGTGAGCTGCTCGTTTGTCTTCGCTGGAGGATCCGAGGACCCGCTCCAGTTTTCCGTTTCCACTGGAGGACCCGACCAGTCATCAGCGTCGCCTGCGGGACGGCGGCCGGTGCCATATGGGCTGGACATGGAACAAACATTTTTCGTTGGGGTTGTATGTTTTACATGTTTGTTTTTTTTGGGTGGGGGGGTATGTTACGGTTCGGCGTTGGCAGTGTATTGTTTTAGGCGTTTTGTTTTGGCGTGACTGTTATGTGTTTCCTGTTTTACTTTGAAAGTCTGTGTTATCTTAGTGTTCAGTTTACGTTTCCTTGTCTCGTCAGGTCTTATTTGCCCCAGCTGTGTATCCCTCCTGTGGTCCATTCCCTAATTGCTCCTTCTATGTATTTAAGCCCTGTGTTTCTGTATGTCATGGTCGCGATCTTCCCCCCCGTTGTAAATAGTTTGGCGCCTTGTGTTTGGTGATGTGAATAAATGTCGTAATTTGCTTTAATTCTCGTCTTGGGATTATTTTTTGTGGAGTTGCACGCCGGTTGCCTAGGCCGGGGTGTAACAACTTTTTCTGATGTAATGTGTCCTGTTTTTCCAGAGCAAGTTGAAGAGCATTCGGTCGATATCCTTACAAGTTTTGCCGTCCACATGCAGAGAAATTGCTGCATAAGTCAGTCGACACAGACCTTCTGCTTTTGAGAGCAATACCCTTCCTCTTAAACTTAAATCTCTCTGCAACCATTGATTTAATTTGGTTTGAGATTTTTTAATAATTGGGGGAAAATTTAGTAAAATTCTGTCTTTTGGATCTATGCAGATAATCAGATCTAAATATGTTGCTTCATTTTTAACTGTTATATTACAAATACTCTGAACATTACACTCTTTGACAGGCAATAATTGACATTTATTTAAGTTTAGGACCAATCCAGACCCTTTTGAGAAATCCTCTATTACGTGTAAAGCAATTGGCACTTGGCTGGCATTTTTAAGAAAAATTGTGGTATCAGGCTATGACAGCGTTGATGGAGTTTTTAAATTGTGTTGATCGGCCACGTAAAACCAGAGTTATGTTAAAAATATATGAAATATTTGGTTTTCTTCCTGAATACTATCATTGTTTATATTTACTGCGGGAAGAAACAGTAAAAACTGTGTTTCATAAGGAAAATGCCATAAAGCACTTTCCACCTGTGAGCGAAGACAAAACCAAAAAACCCCACCCTTTCCTAATGGTCAAAAAATGTACCATGTCGACCAATCAAAAGATTCCAGATAGCAAGACGACATTGAATCGATGTTGATTTTTCATCCAATCCGTCGTTATGGTCAGGGTTGAAATGTCACTGTTGTAACAACATTGAAATACTGTGGTAAACCCATGGTCTTACTATAGGGACGTTGAAATGATGTTGATTTACCGTTGTTTTTTTGTCATTGATATTTGATCTATTTGTAGTCGACCAGGTGACAACAACAATGTGTAGAAAACGTCTATTTATAGTTGACCATCATTCCACGCCGGACACCATCAAAAAGCCATCGATTTCTAGTAGTGCATTAAATTGCATTGCAACTGAGCGGGTATAAAGTACCGGAGAAAGTGGATTTATTGTTCTTTTGTTATCAATGACTTTGGTCTAGTTCACCAGCTTTGAAAAATCGTGTCGACCTGCAATTTATGTATAGTTGAGCGGGAAATTAAAGCAGCGATCACTTGGACTATTCCGCAGCACCCCTCTCACAGTGGTACATCCCTCCAGGTAACCATTGTCTTGTACAGTAGAGCGGGACATTAGATTTACTCTCAGCGGAATTGACCGGAGAAGGCATCAGTTCATGCACTGCACTGGCCTGCACCACGATTAGTATAAGGTAAGAATGAATGAATTTTCTTCTATTTGTTATTTCCACAGTTGCATTTGAATAACAGTAAAAAACTCGTTAATGTACAGTTTCTGACAAAATGTGGGAGCCCGAAATTGTGTCCACTTTTCATCTTACAACTCAGCTGGAGTTTCATACTTTTCTGTTATATTCTGTTACAAAGCTAGCCTAACGCTTCGAGGGTTCCTTTGTTAGCCTTGCCGTCGCCTCGGCCACCATTGACCCAGACTGTCGCTCTGTCTTTGCCTTTTTGCATAGTACTAAAAAAAAAGTGTAAATCTGTGATATATGATTGGTAAATGTAAAGGTAACTGTATAAATGTGTTCAATGACTTTGTTACTTTTGATGATTGGAGAGCACCCGCTTCAATTCGCACACGAAAACTTTAGACTCAGTTCGAATGCTCACGCGGCATGTCCACGTGACTTTACGTTGCACGCTCACCTTTATGTTGCACGCTCCAGAGGCGGAGCCAGACATTTGAAACACCCGGGGCTTAGCCCAAAAGGGTAGTATGCATGTGGGATTTTTTTTTTTGGGGGGGTAGAAATGACTGAAAGATTAATAGGCTCTGTTTTGAGTTTTGTTCAAAAAAGAATGACTTCATATAGGGAAAAATATATATCACATGTGCAGGACACCTTAAACTAGTTTTTTAATTAAGCAGCAAGGCAGAACAAAGTCAGGGCTGTATCAAGACACGAGGACTAAACCCCAATTCAACCAGACCCAGAACTGATCCAGAATTAAAACAGGACTACAACAGTTCAAAATCAGGACTACTTGGGACTTAACCAAGACAGAACCAGAATCAGAACTAGATGATAGTAGCACTAAAAATCATCATAGACCTGCACTACACTTATTTTTTAATTTTACCAAAGTACAATATTTAGATTGAGAAAAGTTTATATAATTATTTAGCCTTGTTGTGCAAACAAGCCTGCATAACTTAATAAATATAGAATTTGAAAAATAACAAACCTAAAAAGAAACACTAGGTACGAGATACATGAGTACCTATGATACGGTGATACTTTTGGCAAACAACCATTTGACTAACATGTGTGTCTCACCTGCTCTTGTTCATCTCTGTTCTGTCCTCATTCTCCTCTCTCTCCCTCTCTGTTCCTCTCTCTCCCTCTTTGTGCTGACAATCATCAAATATACAGATATTTACAAACTCTTCAGATCAAAACACAAACACTTTTTTAATTGTAACATCAAATCAGACTAAATGTTTATTTTTTTAGATTGATAAATATAAAAAACATATTTGTTAACTTTAAGAGTAAAGAGAGAAACTATCTGTATTTCTTAATTGTAAATGGCACCAAATTGTATTCAAACTGAGCCACACTTATGGAGCTCCACAGTTCTTTCCTGGTGTTTTGGTTGACATCTCTTGATTTTCCCATGTCACAGAAACAGGCTCTGTGTTTTGCCTTATATGCATCCACAGCTGTGCCACCAATTTACTCACATGGACTCTACTAACCTATCAGAAGCTTCTTCAGCTCAGAATGGAATCGTCTGGAGTTTCTTATTAATTAACAAACTTAGTGTACATGTACTCCTAAATTTGATGAAAGTGATAAAAAATAGACAGCTCTGTCTCTCTTTATTCTGACATTTAACTAATTCAAAAGATATTTCAATATTTTTCTAAAACAAAAGTTTACTCTAAAGTGTAAATATCTGGTTACAAATGTGAATATCCTGCTGTGTACTGAAATCCCTCTTGTTTTGCATAGAAATATACTGAACAACATACAAAGCATAATATATAAAATAACATTTACCTGAGTTTTTTCTTTGAAAGAAGCCTCTAATGTCCATTCTTATATTTCAGTACATAACTGAAACCGATTTAGTCGGGGAGGGTAAGAACTGAAAATATGAAATAAACACACGTAAGCTAAGACTCTCTAAAAAAATAGCATTTGTTCGGCTTTTCATTTCGCCATTTGTTGATTCACTTGAAGAGCGAGTAACGTAATATTGGTCAAGTGATCAGTTTGATATCAATCTTTCGTGATGCACCGTCATATTTACATTATTTGTACGGTACGAATGATTTGCTTTGGTACCTGGTCAAACTTAAGCTCTCCTTAGTATGGCTGGCTCCGTTTCTCCAACAGCGCACTCACAGGCAGCAGCTGCCCCGCCCCCTCGCTCAGTCGCTTAGTGCCTGAGCTCGGATCATACCAATATCAGGGGGGATTCACGCACAGTCGTAAATTCCCACAGTGTGCACTATGTGCTTCGAATATTGTGTGTACTTTTTGTTTTATACAGTTGTCAGCCAGACATCTAACTATGAAAAAATTACACTCCAAAATACCCCGGGCTTCTGACAAAACAACCCGGGCTTAAGCCCAGTAAGCCACCCCCACGCTCCGCCCCTGCACACTCACCTTTACGTTACGTTGCACTCGTACATGACTTTCCGTTTGTGCCTTGAATAATGAATAAGGCTACGTCCACACGTACCAGGGTATTTTTGAAAACGCAGATTTTTCTATGCGTTTACACCTTTCGTCCACACGTAAACCTCGTTTTCGTTCGCTGAAAACGGAGATTTTAAAAAACGCCTGCCAGGGTGGATATTTTCGAAAACTCAAGTTTTTGCATTTACGTGTGGATGAGGAAAACTGAGAAAACGCAGCGTCAAAGGTGTGCGCCTATTTTGACGTCACACTGTGCACGTTTTTCTTTCGGTGCAATGAATTTCTACAATGGCGGACTTAGACAAACTTATACTTGAATGCAGAATGTTAAGCCATCACTTATGGATATATTAGTTTTTCGCCTCCCACTGCTTAAACCTGAACAACCACTTTATGAAGTGGTTCTGAGTGAGCTGGAGCTGTTTTGCAAAGAAGGATGGGCAAGGATTTCAGTCTCTAGATGTGCAAAGCTGGTAGAGACAGACCCTAAAAGACTGGCAGCTGGAATTGCAGCAAAAGCTGGTTCTACAAAGTATTGACTCAGGGGGCTGAATAATTACACACAGCCCACTTTGCAGTTATTTATTTGTAAAAAATGTTTGGAATCATGTAGGATTTCTGTTCCACTTCTCACGTGTGCACCACTTTGTGTTGGTCTTTCACGTGGAATTCCAATAAAATTGATTCATGTTTGTGGCTGTAATGTGACAAAATGTGGAAAAGTTCAAGGGGGCC